GGCAAATCATGTGTAATCAGTCGCTACTCTGTTCATTCAATGTACGAGAAGCTACTCGGCCAAACATGGGCCCGAGTAGTGTTGCTCGACCAAGCTAATGCTCGATCTATGTTGCTCGGCCAATCCAGTCCCCAGTGCCCGAGCGGTGTTGCTCGGCCAATCATGTGCAATTAGTCGTTGCTCAGTTCAGTCAATATCCGAGCAGCTGCTCGGCCAAACACGAGGCTGAATAGTGTTGCTCGACCAAGCTAATACTCGAGCTACGTTGTTCGGCCAATCCAGTCCCCAGTGCTCGAGCAGTGTTACTTGGCCAGTCATGGGCAATCAGTCACTACTCAGTTCATTCAATGTCCAAGTAGTTGCTCGGCCAAACATTGGCCCAAGTAGTGCTGCTCGACGAAGCCAATGCTCAAGACACCCCTCGCGGCCAGTCCAACGCTCGAGCCACACCTCGCGGCCAATCTAATGTTTAAGTCACGTCTCGGCCAGTCCAATGCATGAGCCACGCCTCACAGTCAGTCCAATGTTCGAGTCATGTCTCAGCCAGTCCAATGCATGAGCCACGCCTCGCGGTCAATCCAATGTTTGAGTCACGTCTCGGCCAATATAATGTTTGAGTCACGTCTTAACTAATCCAATGCTTGAGCCTTGCCTCGCAGTCAGTCCAATTTCAGAACCATGCCTCGCGGTCAATTCGATGCTCGAGCCACCCCTTGCGGCCAGTCCAATCTCTGAGTCATATCTCAACCAATCTTATGCCCGAGTAGTGTAGCTCGGCCAGTCCAGCGCCCGAGTAGGGTTGCTTGGCTAGCCCAATGAGTTATGTCGCTCGACCAATCCAGCTCCTGAATAGAAGCTCCCGATCAACCGACATTCGAACCACCAATCCCAGCATGATAGCCAACCCAACTAGCAAAAGGCACCAAGCCATGCCCTGAGCCCCACCACAAGGAACCCGAGGCACACCTCTTTGGGGCTGGAAAGAATGATAGAGCATATTTTGGTATCACCCACGTGGACCCAGGTAAGCAGACATGACAATGTAGATGTGAAACTTCAAGTATGATGTGGCACGCAACACACACGTGGCAGGCAGCCGCTTGCTACCCCCTCCGTACGAACGGCATAATCACGGTACAGCCATCCCGGAAAGCTCGGGGCAACGTCGCATGGCGCCGATCCATGCAGGTCGGTCAGCGCTCACACAAAAGCTCAAGTCGGCCATCCAAGGAGCCGGTCACAGTTAATTGACCTCGTACGACCAGCTCATCCTCGCAGGTATAAAAGCTAACCCTCCTTAATCAGGAGGGGACGAACTTTTTGCACATTAAACTCACTATTATTCCACTCAATGCCTTACTTCGGAGGGGTCAAGTCAGGAAATCCCTTTCCTGACCTTGACTTGTGTGCAGGGGCTGACGACAAAGAAGCAAGCAACAAGACTCATAGCTTAACCCGACCCGACATGTATTTCCGCTTCTCGAGTCTCCGCGTTGACGATCTTGCACATCCGGGATCGAACCGAGCCGTGTTGACTCCTCAGCCACGTCGTAAAGATTCACCAACAGATGAAACCGATCTAAGGTGCTAACATATTTCAACCTAATCTTAGAGATGTTATGCAAAACAGAATCACAGCATTCATCGGTGGCCATGTTTGTGAAGCTTCCCAGTCGTTTCAGGCCAAATCATAACAGAGACGGAGCCCAAGCGAGCATAAGAAAAGGAACAACACACCTCTCCCCGAAGCACACAGGAACAGTTCATGGCAGGGAGAGTGTGTGACCATCTATGTAGTAGTAACAGATGAAGACGACGTGCATGGGCAGTAATATCATTTCTTAGCGAAGAGGCCTCCGAAGCCGCCGGACTTCTTCTTGTTGGGAACCGAGACGGAGGTGGTGGTCGACTTCCTGGACCCGGTGGTGCGGCCGCGGCCGTTGCTCTCCTCCACCTTCCTGAGGATGGGATCAGTCTCCAGCAGCTGGTCCTCCTTCTGCAGCCCTCCCAGTATCCAGTCCAGCAGCCCTTTCTCCTCTCCGCTGCTCCCTGCGCCCTTCGCCGCCGCCGTCGCCGCGAACACCCGCCCGCCGGCGGCTGCCGCGCCCATTGCCAAGGTCATCGCCGCCATCTCTTTCTCTTCTTCCGCTCACTACTCTCCTCCACCTCTCACCACCTACACATATACATGGGATTAATCCCGGGATGTTGTGGGATATGGGTCATCCACAGCCGTCTTATCCGAAGAAGGGAGGGTTTGAATCGCTTTCTAATCTGTGGTCACAGCAAAGCCATTCTCGTCAGCCTGAGCACAAGATTGAGGTGCAGCGTTGGCCAAGTTGCCGATACTTCGTCCTCCACTGTGCCTTTGCGGCTGTAGCAGCAGGAAATAAATGCTCGGTACTTTACAGTCTTGGGTTTGCCAGAGGTTCGGCACCAGTCGCTCGTTCATGAGCCCAATGACCGAGCTCGATCTTAAAAAAAGAAAACCAGTGTTAGGTTAATTAATAAATAAATCAAGATTTCTAAAACTTAGATCAGAACGTATATAATGCCAATTTATGCTTAGAAATAAAGTTTAGAAAATAGGCAGAAATCAATGACAACATCTAATGCTGTTCATGCGGTCACTGCATCTTTATTTACTGAACTGAGAGCACAACGAAGACGCTGCTACTACACGCACGGATTCAGAAAGTGAGGGAGAGAGAAAACGAGGTAATGTCTCCTTGTCGCAACGCAGCTGCTGTTATTACATTTATGGTCGCCACTTCAGAGCTTCGACAATGCAGCGTCCATCACACGCACGAAGAAATCTGCAGCAAAGAAGAGATGCCATTGGAATCATCCAAATGATATATTGGTTGGGATTCAAATGCTGCAGCAGAAGAATGGCATACCAGAATCATCCTTGGAGAAGCAGAGAGGAGGAGTTTCTGTGAGAACATTGTCATAGAAGCCACCCTGCCCAACCAGCACACCCATGTCCGCTTCATCAAGCATGCAACAGCTCATCATCAGAGAACCATTTGTTGACAGCGGGGAAAGAAACAAGAACTCATCTGCAACTGAAAGCTTGCCTTTCATCATCTCCATGGCACGCAGGACTTGAGCTTTGGCAGGAGTCTTTTGTCGGCGGTCGGTGACCAACTCAACTCCAAGCATCAGACCTCTACCCCTCACATCTCCAATGACTACAACAGTCAAAGCAAGCAACAGAGAAGATGATCATTTAGTCACTATAACCAAAAGGTTAAGCTGCTTCGATTTAACACGTTTCTGCACGTCATCTGCAAACAGTAATCGGGCGATGCAAAACTGGAAATTGGTGTTGCTGTGGTGCGACTCCTTGAATAATGATGAGAAGAAGACCTTGTCATCAACTTGACACTAAAAGAAGAGACTACATCTTGTGTTATTCTCTCTTCTCTCTGTTCTCTTTCCTTGGATTCATACATAAATAGAACTATGACAAGCGCGTGTTACTGTGATGCTTTTGTTTGAGTTGAGTGCCTTTGGGGTGATCTTTCAAGTAAGATCCCACAAGTGATGCTTTTCTTAAAGCTTTTCATTCTCCAGCGCTCTGAGGACAGCATGACCACCAGCCATGGACACAGGATTGCCACCGAAGGTGCTAAAGTAGCTTCGGCGAGCGAAGACTCGGGCAATCTCAGGAATTGTGACCAATGCACTAAAAACCACTCGACTATAAATGAAACGTAGCACAAAAGGATGCCTGATGTGAACGTGTAACTTTACCAAGAATGTCAGTAATCTTGCAATGACGATGGTGGCTATAGTTAACATATGTAGCTCAAGGTTTAAAGTAGTAGGTTAAATCTAAACATAGTATATGTAGTATTCTTTTAACCTTTAACCATATGAAACTATCTTCTTAGTTTCTATTTTTATTCATATTTTTAATATTTTTTCCTATTCATCTCTGTTTATCTATGTTTTCAACATCTTTCATTGTTCATGTATGGGAACACTATGAGGGATTAACTCATCCACTTCTACTCAAGTCAATCACAATTTGACTAGCTTTTTTTTATTAATTTTTTTAATTTATTTAAATCAAATTTTGTTCACCTAAATACTATGTCAGTGATATTATAATGATGTATCTAAATCAATTTGGTCAGGATTAGCACATTAGTAATCTTGTAATGATGAATTTGAATCGATTTGATTAGGGTTAACATATATTATGTCACCTATAATTTCAACCCAAAAGTTTAAGCCTTTATGTTATGGGTCATTCAATCTTTAATCATATAGAATTATCTTCTCAATCTATCTATTTTTATCTCATTCACGAATCTTCAAAAAAGAACACTCATGGGAGAGGAGGCCATGAACAAGGAGTTAAACGATGTCTGGCACAATGCCATGGGCTTCGAACCCCCAGAAATGGCTTCTTGTGCGTGCAAATCCCGCTCGTACCTCGTCGGCAATGCACAGCCCGCCAGCTTCCTTTAAGGTGTTGTACACCGCAGGCGAGTATCCCGATGCCAATTCACCCTGTCATCCAAGAAAGAGATCCTAACACCAGTACAAAACAGGTGAAAGATGATATCCAACATTGCATGAACACGCAACGTTGGTTACATTATGTGTGAGGGATATATCCATCAAGAATTGCATACTTTGGATTCCGAAATGAAACCCGCGACTCGCTCGCAAGTCCTGAAGTTTATGATTTCTTGGACATCTTTGGCATATTTTTCTCCGTCTGACCCAAAAATTTCTACTTTTACACCTGGTGGAAAATCTTATACCACCGTCGAGGTTTCAGTATGGTTTGGTCTAATTCCGAATGCGTAGAGTCATCTATGCGGATGCTTGAATAGGAGAGGTCGACGTCGGATCGGATCCAAGCTTCGTCTCCCGAGTACGATCTCTCCCTTGAGGGGTTATTGCTTCTTCTCCATGGAGTTATTGCATAAAGGCCTGAGCAAGGGGGAGGGGTGATTTTCCGACTTAGCCCCTTCGAAACTCTAGTTAGTATTGAGCGGGATTAAGGTAAGTTGAAGTGTTCGAAGTTTTCTCTTGACGCTAGTTAGGAGGTCGGCTTATACCTCCTAACTAGCGTGGTTGGCTTATACCTTTCGTGTGGGTGTCGATCAACCTGTATGGATCTGTGCTATACGGTGTCATTTTGAGCTTTCTGGAATTGCTCTGTACTATGCAACATCGTCTTGTATGACCTTGAACAGCATGGGAGCATACGACTGTCCCATTCGAGTTCGAGGTATCACATAAGCGTAGCACACCATGTCAATCATGAGGCTCCTCATTAGCACTAACATGGTTGCTTATCGTTGCTACATAAGTAGTACCAGAATATATCATATCAACACACATTAAGAATAATGATAATTTATTTTTAAAATAATTTTATATGTCGATCTTGTTAGTACATGAGTTGGTTGGAGCCGATCGTAGACCATCTTCGAGTCCTTCATAGACTAAGATATTACAACGTTGGTGATTTGAGTTGAGATCCTGTAAAAAGCAAATTAGCAACATGTTCGATAAGACCCCTCAGATACTTAAAGCTGATTGAGAACAAACTTCGGAGTCTTTTATAGTGTGAGAAATGATTATTAGATTGAGGTTATGGTAAATATATCATGAATGATTATGCACGTCATGTGATCATCAATGGATCATGGCATTATATACCGAATTGTTAGAACTACAATTATGGAGTAACAATTTTGCTGATTTAACTTTCGTTTTATCGTTGCGTAGTTAACTTTATGGGGTTGAGTCGACATTCGACAATATGTCACCAATCTTTTATGATCGAATCTTATCTCATGTGTCTATCAAATGGATGTGATGTGTTGATGACCACATACATGTCATGCCCCCATATCAAACCTCGAGAAAATTCAGATCAAATAAAGGTCAACGTGCAATGTTACAACTCGAAGATCCTAAAGACATTTCACTTTAGAGAGGAGGTTAAACCGAAGAGGGATTGCTACGATGAATGTGACAATGATCCAAAGACCTTTGCCTTAGCCTTTATCCAAGAGGAGAAAGGCCCTCATATCATTCTTCCAAAAGGACAATCAAATCTTTAGATTTTTTTTATACCCTGTTTTTTGTTTTGGTGAATAGACAGACCATATCTAAAATTGAACATATGTGATATCTACAATTTTTTGTACATGTCTTTTGGTTCAATTTTGATATTGCAAATCAGATCCAATCAATCCTTTGTCATTCTTTTATCCCTATCCCAATTGTTGGCGACTCATCTATTGATATTCCCATATGGTTCTGAATCTGAAGTCGGTTTAGTTTCTAATAGTGAACACCACATTCCTGACATCAATCATTTTTCCCTTCTTCCTATCATAGCTTGTTTTTTGATCCAAAACAAAGTGTTTCTATCGGTCGATTGGATCCATGCTATGAAAGCAAAACATACAGCAGCATATTGCATATAAAGCCTCCACATCGTTGTTGATAGAGGAAAACTCTAAAGCTGCATGCATGATACTTGCCTGGCCTCTTTTTGGTGTCGATTTTGGAAGTGGAGAAGCAGTGATCTTTTGGTTTGGAATTTGCGTTCTTATTGATGTTTCATTGATGTACTCTCTTCTGGTTTGATTCTGGTCGATGTAATAAAACATTTACTGCTGAATAAGATTGGATTTCGATCAATCCATCTTAGATTAAATGAAGATGGCAAGCACATGAGAAGTTTACGAGGAAACGAAAGGTGTATGGTATTGATGGATGACATAACACCACTGTTACAGAGTCCACTCCACAACACCAGTGAAGCCACAGAACAACAACACACAAGGGAAACGCTGCGGTGGTCACGACGAGTGCTCACCACACTGAGAGCACAGTGGGTGGCAGCTCCAACCTTATTGTATGTAAAGCTCAGTATCGATCCATATTCTCCAAAGAGAGCCTCACTTCACCCTGAACAAGAAGAACATGTGTAAGATAAGAGTAAGAAGAACATGGAAGAAGAACATGGAAGAAGACAGAGATCTTAAGTGTGATTGCTATATGAGAGTCAAACGATGGAGAAACTTAAGTGAAAGACACTGCCAGAGTCAAATCATTTAAAGAGGGGGCTTTCTCTTTCTAGATATTATGCTGTTCTCCTGACTAATTCTAAGGGAAGAGCAAAATACTGAAAGATGAGTATTATTTGGTCAAAATATTCTACTCACATCTTCTGTAGAAGAAGATGACTGTCAAGGGAGTTCAAGC